AGATTAAGCTTGCAAAGCATCGAAATTCTAAAGATAGAGAACTATGTTGTACACTTGTATTCAAGATTTGATCATTGGCACCGATAGGAATAAGTAAATGTAACAAGGCAAGTAGGACATTGGAACCAAAGATAAACAAAACAAGATGAACAAAACAAGATAAACAAAACACGATGAAACAAAACAAGATAATTCTGTTAATCCTAAGTTAGAGGATAACCCATGAATGAATAATATAACTTTTTCAAGTCTTCGTAAGTTCGTGCTCAAAGCACTCTAAAATTTTAAGAATTTATCATTTGTCATTGATGACTTAAGACAAAAGTCAAGCGCTGAAATGGGGTTCTCCTAAATAATGATCTCTTATTGTTAACCAAATCTTGACGAAGGAGAAAGTGATGTCAGATATACTTGGATATAAACAAAAAAACAACATCCTTTTGAATTGTCAAATCAAACCCTGCCCTGAAATTTGTCGATTCGCTCCAATGAATCCAAACCGTCTTGTATTATACGATTTAGATACATGTTCTTCTAAAACCGTGCCAAAACGCAATGATACTCCGATACTCCGAAGATGTATTTATGCAGACTAGGTTCAATTATGTTCTTGAAGATTGTATACCAAAGGCAATACCATGCCAGTAGAAATTGAAACAGAGTCTGACATAGTACTAACATACACCATCGAGTCTTTACAAATCATTGGATCCCTTCCCATCCCCTTATCATCTGTACTCCTACTCCCGAGAGCATTCTCCTAGTGAAGAAATCGTCCTTTAATGTGTATCTGTGAACCTTTTTTTGATAATGAAGCATGTGATGTTTTTATTGTGAAATGAAAGACATGAAAAGCAATTTTTCATTTTGTTATTATTTTGTACATACTTATTTTTTGTCTTTTAAAATCTTCTTTTCATCGACCAATGTCGACATGTAGTAAAATAAATATTTTTTTGAAGTCAAACTTTTCTTTAGTTGTTGGTTTCAGTATAGATATATGTAGATCCTTTCAGATGGTATGTTTGTCGTGACATAGACTTTAAATCTCTGGCGGGGAAGGTTGAAGTCACAGTAACTTTAACTTGACCTTGAAAAGTCTTTTCAACTTTTCATAAGTTGCTGACTTTCAATACAGGTATACATCTTTTCAGACGGTATCTTTGTCGTGATATAGACTTCGAAGCTCTGGGACGGGGGTGGGTGGAACCACAGTAACACCGGGTCGCATTCCTTGAGATAAGCTTGACCTTGAAATTCAGGTCTTTCAAAAACCTATACATCCTTTCAGCCTTAAAATCCTGGGTGGTTTTGGAACCACAGTAACGCCATCCTTCAGATAATCGGGATTATGTTTTTCCCATTGCCAATATTGCAGGAAGCGGCTGTGACAATTATTGATAATCCGTTGCTGAGATAGATTTTATTTCTGTACGCAAACGACTGAGCATCTTCATCGTCCCTTACTGGATATACACGTTGGATATAACATGTATGCCGAGTTGATAATCCCATGGTGATTTCATTCCATTATGCTTCTTAAAAGCCTGCAAGACATCAACAAAATGGTAGACTTTTACACCTTAATAATCTTTAAACATTGTAATTCGATGTCAAGCTGATAACAGAATCAGTAACATAATATTTGCTATAACAACCTTTATATAACATCGCACTAGAGAATATTCTTTATACTGTTACAAAAACTTGATAATTAGAAAATATGTCCCTTGGGAGTCTGGACAACGCGTTAAGGTTTTTTATTTCATCTAAAACTATCCATGAGATAATTACATTTATACAGACTCGTACACATCTCAGTCTTCTCTACATACTCTTACTTAAATATCATTTTGATAGCAAATTATATAGGCTTATTCAGATCGATAGTTCAATGCTTTCTATCTCTTGTCATACATCGTAGTCCTTTTCACAGGAAATATGAGACTGGAAATCATTAACCGCGAGACACAATTCAAGAGAATTAGAATGCTTTTTTTAAGGATACGGGAGTGGAAACCAAATCAAAGGGTGAATCTTTATATATCTATGTTATAAACCATTAAATCAAAAATATGCAAAAATCTAAAACATTTTGCCGTCATCCTCTAACACTAAACACATCTGCAAGTGGAGTCAAATGGTTAAATAGTAACATGTCCAATAAATCAACGTGCGTAATTTGAAGAATACCGTTCTTTGTAATGATTTGCCTATTTTATGTAGTCCAAGCTAATATTGGAACTTCTTTTAGACTAATTAAAAGTACGAGGCATTCATCATTTCTCTTAGTTTATTTTACATTCTAGAGAAATGAGACAGGAATTAGATCAAAAATCACGATCCTAAAATACTGACAGTACATTCTTCACGTTCTATTATTCAACACACGTCCCAGGTCTCGACCTTCATACGGTGCCATTTTCTCCTGATATTTGATTTAATATTGTAACAAGATTAAAGTCAATATACGTGTTAGTCAATCTGCTGATTACGTGGCCAATCTTTCTCCATTTTCAACTTTTTATCTGAAATTGGTAATTCTCAGTATTTGCTGAAAATGAATCACAGAGGGAAAACAAAGTAGAAACTTGAATTATGTTATGAAAAAAAACTTTCATAATCCCTGTTTTTTCTCTAGCGAAATACTTTAACGACGGTTTGTCTTAAAAACATTTTAAGAGTTATTAAATAGTCTGAACAACGTGAATATTATCTCCGAGGAATTAAGGTTTCAGAGTTTCGTGCGTTCTGCAGATTATTATCTATTAATATTCACGGCGCATGTAACTACACTTTGATATTGACATCATCATCGGTACCATCTTCATTAAAGTCGTCGCATCATCAGCACAACCATGGTCATAATTCTACCCTTACAGAAATTCAAGACAAATAAACTCAGTACTAACGATCCGAACCGCAAAACGAAACAACATTTGACGAAATATTGGTAGCAGCTATTGAACTTTTCACATGAGGAAGTATTTCATACTGAAAAGTGGTATCAAGTGTCTAGAAGAGTCAGAATACCCTGCCGTAAGGGCTTTTCAACTTGATGAGAGAACACTCCATTGTTTGTGCGAATAGAATCAACAGAATTGACACTCAGTAGTGACTGGTGGAGACTTTTAACCATTTTCCATTGCTTTTGTTTTCAGTTTAAGAAGAGAGAAAAAGCATGTGATCAACCTCTGTACTGTTCATTAATGGAACAATTCATGAAGAGAGATCTTGCTGAAAAAAGTGCAATGCAACACTAATAACACTAACACTTATATAACAGTTTTAGCTATAATTTTTTTTCAAATCTTCCATATTTATAAGAAAGGGTTAGGTTCTTAGCCTACATACCAGGCTACCACAACCAGACTGTGTTTGAGGGGTGAAGATCAGAAATGGAAAATCGCTTCGCCAGCCTCCCAAGGGTACAGAAGGTCTATAATATATCTATAAGAGATCTGATCTTTGATCTACCATAAAGAGAGCAAAAAAAGAGAACAGACTGCTTATATGATTTATTAGAGATACTTTGAAAGTAAATATACGATAAACATATCTATAATACAATAAATATCAACATATACAAAATTTATGGACGGAAAACAACGAAATACAATTATATTTCTAACAGTTTAGTTCTCATAAACAGAATGCTTTATTCTTTAAGAAACAATAGTTAGTTATTTTCAGACTGACACATCATTATTCTAAATCAGTCGCAGTCAAATGAAACCTTATTGAAGTTCTGTACATTTCAGAATATTTGTAATTGTTGACTATTATTCTTCTTGTCAAATGATCAATCTTGAAGAAGTTGAAGTAAATGATCTATATGTCTAGAGATGATGACATGCCAAAATAGAAATTTACGTCTTCACGGCACATAAAGCCATCTCACAGACTTCCAAGGAAGAATAACTTTTCTGCAGTAGTAGAACATATCTTTTACAGAACTAAAATTTGTGACTTAGGCCCTCTTGTTACAGTGGCATCACCAATTCCATGTAAATACCAGGAAACTAATTATGAACAATGATAATCTTATAAACTTAAGCCCTGTTTATACGTCCAAATGTTACCCACATCAGCATATTTACTCCAGGAGTATAATTGCTTATAAGTAAATATACTTTTGCACAACGTCTTGGAGTATATTTGCTTATGTAACCACTTTTACTTGTGTGAGTTTATATACTTGTGTTAGCTTATATAAGTAAACGTTGCCGTATCAACGGGGCTTTAGTGAACATAGTAAGTTGATTCATTGTACAAATAATCTAAAAGAATATCGGAGGCTTCTATGAAATATAAAGGAATGTTCTTGTATTTCATCATGAAATGGACGGAATATAGAAAACAATATTCATTTTAAAAGCTTAAATCTTAAGTAAGACTTTTTTGGGACAGTTTATGACTTCTACCATTTTAAATTTTAGGATTTCATGAAGTTAATCATTTTGTATTATTGTAGACCAATAGTGTCCCAATCAACAACACTATAGGCCAAATAAGTGCACAAATAGAATACAAAATTTACTTAATTACAAATAAATCTTACATTCAAGGAATTACAAGTTAGAGTGGGTGGATTAAAATGAAATAAATAACTAAATATTTGGATCCAAATATCACAGAGTTCAAAATATAATTAACTTTCTCTATGGATGATAGAGAAATCTTATTAAAAAACAGCTGTATTAAATATATCATTTTTATGTCCAACAGTTTCCTCAAGACATCGTAAAACTGAGTAGACATCATGATTCAAATAAATGATGTGAAAAGTTCTCATGAACATTGACATTTGATAGGTTATATCATTTCTTGAGGCTGAACTAGTGATACATTGCAATGTCTTCAGATTCTAATGCAAAACTGAAATGATATACTCAAGCTGTATATGAATCATATTGATAATAGTGAATATTTGTAATGAAGTAGGTGTCTAGGATGAAGCTGCTAGTGTTGGTTTAGGATGAAACTGCTGATATGTTGGTTCAGGATGAAGCTGGAGCTGTAGATGCAGGTGTTGGTCTAGAACGAGGCGCTGCACTACCACCAGATGGTCTCTCTCTTTCTTTCTGATATTCCATTTCTATCTTAGATTCTATTTTTTCCCAGTCTATTTCAATCTGAAAATATAATTAATTTATTTATTACAATGAGCCCCATTTCTAGCAATTTTTTTGAGCCAAAGGTAAATCAACTCAGACAGTGAAAGATTAGAGACTTAGTGCATACATTGAAATTACAGCAACTGAGAGAGAATCCATTGATTCTATTGCATGTACATTGAAAGCAACTGGCTCTCTACATGCTAGGCTGTAGCCCTAGTCGTGTGATCATTTGACTACAGCTCTGCATAACCATGTTGTTCTAACCATGTTGTTCTAACCAGTTGTTCTAACCATGTTGTTCTAACCATGTTGTTCTAAGTAGTCGTAGATCAGGTGATAAGAGCAAAGTCACCAAAAACTAGGATAGCAACTTCTGATTGAGGGCAACAGTTGTAAGTGGCCGTACATCAACTGATTTAAGCAACTGATCGGTTGCAGACTGTCTGAGAGATTTGCCAATAACCATTGAGAGACTAGTTATACCCTGTTGCAAATGTTGATCTACCCCTTGCTTTATATTCAATGTGTATAAGTTATTACAATCTAGATATAGATAACACATTAACATAACTCAGGTCAAACACAAGAGTCAAATAATAACAATTGCATTAAAGTCACGATTCATCACAAGCTTGGAGACTATACAAGATACAAGTACCTCAACCAATTTCTCAACTCCCTAGCCTAATATACACCGATGAAATTTCAAGGGAGTTAGAATTAGATTTGAAATTTGAATCCTGTACATCAAGTTTAAAGCATGACAAAACTTTCAACTTAAAATTTAATATTAAATTGGATAAGTTTTCTAATTTATATTCATCAAATGGAACAAAATATTGTTAAAAGAAATCAACAAGCATGTCAGTAAATTAATAGAAAGAGAAATTTTATGAGATATATATTTTTTCTGTGGTCTGAAAGTCTAACAAGATCAGAAAATAAATGTTTGATCTGACCGTAATAAATCTCTTTATTCCTCTGACATTTATTGAAGTCTCATCTCAGACCTGAACAACATAAAATATCCATTTTGACTTTCTTCAGACATGTTAAGAGTAAAATACCTGTCTACTTGAGTGCTCATATATTTTCTATGAGATATAGTTATAATATTTAGTCAATTTATTGATATTCTACAGATAGTTAACATGCTATAATAAAAATATAGATCATATTACTATGATTAATAAAAATCAAACAAAGTCAATAGTTTCTTTAACATTGTCTTTTAATAAACTATTTGATAAACTGATACCAGTACATCTTTACATCATATAAATTGTCTGGTTAAAAAACTATTACACAAGAGACATGTTGAATTCAAAAATTTATTTGTTCAGTGGCATGAGGGGAGCCTAAAGGTTGAACATCATATAGTATCATATAGCCAATAATGTTTTATTCTGTAGTGACATTTTTAAATTTTCATGGAGAAACGCTGAAGAATTACAAAGCAGTTTTATTGGTAAGCAAGCTATCTATGTTGTCTCAGCAATCTTTCCCTTATTGCACACTCTATAAGTCAAATGATATGAAGAACCAATGCCCAACTGTTGAAGGAACGAAGTAAGTAACTATTAGAATTGGCTACCATATGTAGCTGGTGGTGATCTGTCTTTGAAGTGCTGGAAGGAAGTTGTGGTGACTCAGTGAGTAAGGAATAAGAAACTTGTTCTCCAATCTGAAGTTCCAGGGTTCAATCCCACCATGGGTCAAGACCTGTAGAAAATTCAACCCAGTTTCCTCCTCAGCTACACTGCAACCCCAAAAGAGGTATCTATACAATTTTCCATCCTTAAACATAGCTGTTGTTGGTCAATGAACTTTTCCTAGTATTAATTCCTGAAACCCACCTTCATTTTATATATATACAGTTTATATAATAAGATAAATTTCCCAATGGACTTGTCTCTAAAAATAAGAGAGGATAATTAGATCCCCTGAATTCAATTCAATTTGACCCTTCTACTTATTTTTTATAAATCCTAATTCAACAGAGAACTCTAAAGTACAAAATACAGACCAATCATTTGTTTTTCATCCGCAAAATTGATTCAATGCTTTGTGGGATTCCAATTGTCAAATGTCAAATAGAAAGGTTTCCGTTAGTTTGATACTGGTAATACAAGAAACATGTTAAGAATAGACAGTGACCTATGTTTCTATTGATTATGTAGTTTTGCGTTTCATTTCACAATTTCATGACAAAGAATATGAAGAACAGACACTCAGACAGATATCATTAGATTCACTTCATCTTTTATATCAGGCTCAAATTTCCACCTCAACATTTACATTTATTTTCCTCCAATACCAATTCAATCGGCAACCATTTATGAAATTACATACGTTTAGAACATGCAATAAAAATGAGTTTTGTGTCTGTGCTGGAGGTGAATTTCAGAGAATAAAGAGAAAGATATGTAATAACGCTGTTCTACTCTAGACGTAATATAATTAAAGATTTAAAATAACTACATTTACAAGTTTAGAATAATCAGAAAATTAAATTGACTGTCTAGATAGAGAGAAATATATTTATTACTGATGTATTATCTAGATATCAAGAGATCTCAATCAACAAATTTTACTATCATGTTTCAGAATACAAATGCACCCAGGAAGCACTAAAAATTAACGCACATATAGAGCTCATTTAATGTCTACCATAATTTTTATTACCTTGTTTATTCCATAATATATAAGTGCAAATTGGCAATTTTGATTTAATAATCCAAAATTAGGCTGAAGCCATGTCACCATGTCCTTGTATCACAGAAGTTTGTAAATGTAGCAATTTGGTTGTACATTAGCGAAAATAGCCAAGCAGTCCTCAAAAGATCTTTAAAAGATAAGCCATAATGTTTATAATCTTTCTGTCGAGGTCTCTGATTGGCTGTATTCGATGGCTTACAAACTAATCATATTTTTGAATTCTGTGAGGGTGGCTATTATAATCTAGGTATAAGTTCGCAATAGCTTGACATTGTGAAGATAATTGCTCTAGAGTATCACAAGCTATGCAAAAGCGAATGCTTCACATTTGAAACAACAACCAAACTTAAGTTTTGACTCTTTCATTTACTTGTATTTTTAAAAATACATCCAGGATAAATTTTTCTTAATTTTAACTTTGATTGCATTTGACTGCCTTGCTAAAGATTAGGGCATGGTCTTTTGCTCAAAATATTAAACATTAAAAATAATCTAATCATAAAACTATTGTTAATGGTCCTGAAGATGATCTGTGTTAGACATCACCGGTTTAGGACTTCTCATTGTTCAACTTTTATCATGTCAATTTACAGAAATATTTCAGAACAATATCAGTTCATAAGAATTCAGCAACACTGAATGCCAACTCTAAGTGTTTATGTCTACGGGTATCCATCACTATATAACAGACTTATTATGAAACTGAGGTAATGACAGTTGCAACAATAATGGAGGAAAAGGGGCTAGAAAAATGGTTTGTAGCCCCACTTCATATTTGACAAATCTAAAATATGACTTTTATACATTTTTGACTCAAAATATGTGTCAGAATGCGCCAAATCAATTCTATTATTCAAAACTTTTCATAGGAGAATCTTTTCAGACCCTCCATGGAATTTGGAATCCCAACCCTCCATTAAGTCAGTCTACCACCTATTCGTACCCCCAGTCCCAGGAGGTTAGCACCACCTCTGGGTAATGGACTGGAAAATAAACAGTGCCAGACATCACATGTCATTGACCATAACTTTCATTGTCCTTCATTTCATTAGAATCGTCAAAATACTGGCACAATAATTTGACCTTTTCTATTACAAGTGTCCTGAACCAAGTATAATATTTTAATACATGGATGGATCTAATAGTGACAAGCTAGACAATATATATCACACTAGACATATTATTATAATGTCTATCTTTTACAGACAATTTAATACTGTCTACTAATCAAGCTGAATAAAAACTATTGATGTTATTGCTAGACTATCAATATATTATAACACTCATGGATGTGGAAATAAAATTCAGTCATTTGAATAAAACAAGTCCAAAGATCTTAGACAAATGAAATTGAGAAAAGTCACAAGAGGAAATTTGACATATAACCTATCTGAAACTACAAATCGGAAGACAGAGGCTAAAAGCTAGCAAAAGTCCTGTAGCAGACCTTTAGTGAACCAATGGGAGTCTGTAATAACTAAGGAAGGTGGACAGTTTGTATGCCAGATTTTTTTTTAAGATTCCTGATAATTACCTAGTTTGCCACTTGAATCCCTCAAAGCTCCCAAAGACAATGACGGGACAATCCTCTAGAATATAACCTATACGTAGATCAAAAAGAGAAATGAATTGTTCACGTGTTTTGAACGGAAAGAGATATACATGGATCTAAACTAAAATCTATGCTGATATTTGATCTAGCCTAGACTATCTACCTTTATAAAAACAGAACAATAACCATATAAAGACAAGCCATTATTATTCAATACATTGAACAGAAAGTTTGTAAAAAAAAAACATGTAGAGAACCATATCACATATTCCATGAATTTATTTGTAATTTGAGTTGATTATATGGTAGAGATAATTTTAGAGCTACTGGATTCCTTTCTAATGAATAATGATATCCGAGTCAAGCCGACCTGTCCAAATTTATTCCAATCAATTTGTTGCAGTTTTTAAACTATCGTGAGCTGATTGCTTATTTTTAAGAAGAAGAAAACGGAAATTAGAAAGAGTGAGGAATTAGAAATTAGAAATCAAATACTTTTCATGCATGATGCAGTCAAGTTGAAATAATGTCATGTGGGAAACAGGTGACTAGAATACAACTCAACCAATCTGAAATGTCACAAATCTTCCACAGAAATTTGATTCCTTTTTAATCCTCATTTCATGCAATATTGTATCAAGTATTTCTTCTACACAAAAACAAAAGAGTTTTTTTTTTCTTTTTCAACACTAAGTTATATCTGTACAATAATTGAGAATATACAGATTTTATAAGAAATATCTAG